AGGCTCTGTCTCAAAAAAAAAAAAAAAAAATAAATAAATAAATAATAATTTGAAAAAAATGGTTCAGTGCCCGTTGCACAGTGCTTACAGCTCCAGCCACATAGGGTTTGAACCTGGCCCAGGCCAGCTAAACAACCGTGACAACTGCAACAAAAAATAGCTGGGTGTTTTGGCGGGTGCCTATAGTCCCAGCTCTTGGGAGGCTGAGGCAAGAGAATTGCTTAAGCCCAAGAGTGTGAGGTTGCTGTGAGCTGTGATGTCACAGCACTCTACCGAGGACCACAGAGTGAGAATCTGTCTCAAAATAATAAAAATAGGCTTGGTGCCTGTGGCTCAAGTGGCTAAGGTGCCAGCCACATACACCTAAGGTGGCGGGTCGAATCCAGCCCGGGCCCGCCAAACAACAATGATGGCTATAACCAAAAAATAACCAGGTGTTGTGGCAAGTGCCTGTGGTCCCAGCTACTTGGGAGGTGGAGGCAGGAGACTTGCTTGAGCCCCGGAGTTGGAGGTTGCTCTGAGCTGTGATGCCACAGCACTCTACCCAGGGGGACAGTTGAGGCTCTGTCTCAAAATAGTAATAATAATAATTAATAATAATAATTTGAAAATATTTTTATGGCTGGGCTCTATGGCTCATGCCTGTAATCCTATTACTCCATTGTCCCAGGCTAGAGTGCTGTCCTGTCATGGCTCACAGCAACCTCAAACTCCTGAGCTCAAGCAATCTTGCCTTAGCCTCCTAAGTAGCTGGAACTACAGGCACGTGCCACAGTGCCCAACTAGATTTTCTGTTTTTAGTAGAGGTGGTCTTGAATTCCTGAGTTTAAGCAATCTACCAGCCTTGGTCTCTCATAGTGTTAGGATTATAGGCATGAGCCACAGGGCTGGGCCTACACTTGGTTTTCCCCAAAAAGATAAAAGTATTTCACAAAGTATCTTTTTAGGGGGAATGCAATTAAATCTATAACATTTGTCTGAGGTCACATATATAGTAAGTAGGAGAGCCGGGCCTGAGGCTTGGGTCGGTCTCATTCTGAAATCTAGACTCTTTTAATCATTGTTGTATATGCTTCCATTTTACAGGTGAGGAGATGGAGGTTTGAAGAACTTACCTAACTCAGAATCCGCACCCCTAGTCCTTGGACTTGAGGCCGCCATTCTCTATCTGAGGAATAGGCAGCCTGCAGGGATGAAGGGGGCTCATCCTGGTTCCCAGAGAGACATAGCAGGCTGGCATCTTTGTTCACTCACCTTTCCCTCCATGGGGCTTTCTTTTTTATTTTTATTTTTTGAGACAGAGCCTTAAGCTGTCCCCCTGGGTAGAGTGCCGTGGCATAGCTCACAGCACCTCCAACTCCTGGGCTCAAGCGAGTCTCCTGCTTCCGCCTCCCAAGTTGCTGGGACCACAGGCGGCCACCACAACACCTGGCTATTTTGTTTTTTTTTTTGGTTGCAGCCATCATTATTGTTTGGCAGGCCCGGGCTGGATTCGAACCCACCACCTTAGGTGTATGTGGCTGGCACCTTAGCCACTTGAGCCACAGGTGCCAAGCCCCATGGGGCTTTCTTTGCACTGATTTGGCCTCTGTTCTCCCTGTCCTTAGTTCTCTGTCCCTGCAAGATCTTCCCAGCCCCTTTTTTCATATTCTTGCATCTACTTTTGTCTCCATCCAGGATTCTCCTCTCAAGACCCTCATGTCCCACTACGAGGAGGTCATGGGACTCTCAGGACACAAGCTCTCCTTCTTCTTCGATGGGACAAAACTTTCAGGCAGGGAGCTGCCAACTGATCTGGGCATGGAATCTGGGGACCTTATTGAGGTCTGGGGCTGACCTCACCCTAGTTTGGAGGCCCAGCCTGGACTTGGGGAGAACATTTCATAGGGGTACCAGAAACTGAATTAAAATATAGTTTTCAGCTAAAGCAAAATCAAGGTGTGACCTTTGACTCCCTTTCCTGCTGACCCTAGTTTGAAGCCATTAACTACTTGGTTAGTTGTGTGGTCATAGTTGCTGCCCTGGGTGGCCTGACGCTCCATCCTCATGTTGTACTGAGTTTTATAGCCCCCGTGACATGGGGAACATTATTTACCCCTACTCTTCCACCTCCATCATCACCCTTTCCTACATTGAAATGTCCTTTCTTTGAAATTCTGCTCATATTTAGAGAGTGAGTTGAAATAAATGAGGGTTGGGTGTGGGCTTCTAGGCCTGGACTTTATGCCACATCTAGGCCCAGCAGTGGCCTTAGTCTCATTTAGGGTTTAAGAGTGAAGTTTGCTTGAGGCATATACACCATTTGGTTCCTTGGCTTGCAGGAAATAAATGATTACACACCCCATTGGATTATGCATAATAAGCAGCAATTGGGATGCTCTTTTGAAGGATAAAGGTAGGGGAGTCTTAGCCCTGGGTGTCTTCCTTGTCCCAAGGACCCTTTAAAGCCATCCTTTCTAGTATACTCTTCCAGGTGCAGACATTTAAGACATAGCTGAGCACATTCAGCTGTTTTGACATATCTTTGAATATGAATGTATCCTTGTAAATATAGTGTTTTAGGTGTGAATATGTGCTTTCAATGCACATAGTGGTGGTGTGCAATAGGTCTTGTATTTTTACTCAATGTGTGTTAAGAGCTAGCCCTGTTGCCTATTCTAGATATGGGTCATTACTTTAAACCTCTACGTGGTACTCCACAGTGGCACTGATTGCATTTTACACACATTGCCTTAAGTAGTGGACACCTGGGTGCCTCCAATTCCTTGGCACCATATACAAGGCCATGATAAACATTCTTTTATGTGTCCTCTGTGCTTGTATGAAAAATTCCCTGGCACACATACCTAGGATGGGATTATAGGTCATACAGGTTAATTTCTGTATGGTTTTCCAAATTTTTCTTTAGAATAGTGATTGACCCACTCAGGGCTTCCCATTTCTCCTAATTTTCTTACCAGCACTTGATGTTGCCTAACTTTCTGAATTTTGACAGACTGTTAGGTGTAAAGTAGTACTATGTTTTAATTTACATTCATCTGATCACCATTAATTTGGGGAATTTTTTTACCTATCAGCCTTTCTGATTTCTCTTTCTGTAACTTGCTCATTTTCTCTTAGGGGCTTCCTGTCATTTTTGGTTTATTATCAGGAGTTGCTCTTATAATCCTGGGCAATTACAAATAACTCTTTGTGTGTCTAGGGCTATCCTTCACTGAACAGAAATTCTTAATTTTAGTATAGATAAATTATTTTGTCATAAAGTTTGTTGCTTTTTGATTTCTTATTTAAAAGTTGTTAACATGCCTAGTATGACTTTTTTGTTAAAAAAGAAAAAATAATAAAAAGATGTCAAGATATATTACAATTTCTTCTGTTAGCTTAATAGTTTTCCCTTTCATATTGAGCCCGCTAAATAGAGTTCATGTCCAGCTGGTATACCCGGTATGGTGTATAGTCTGGGATCTGTTCTGAGCAGTCAAACGTTTGTTTTGTGTAGTTCATGCCAGGCTGTACTGGTTGCTAAATACTGAACATCACTTTAAACTACTAGAAATGCACCTTTGTATATGAGACCTAAGTTTTATTTTTTATCATCTAATGAGCCAGTTTTCTTAGGACTGTCTACTAAAAAAGCCATTAATCTTCCACAGATGTGGCATACTTTTAGCAATAGTATATCAATATCTAAAAAAAGTTTTTATTGAAATGTGGCATTCCTTTGAATTTTATAACATTGAAATAATCCATGATATGGTATAGCTTTCCAGTTTTTCAGATCTTTTATGTCCACTAATAAGTCTGAACACTTTAAAATTATGTATTCAATTTCAACAGAATAAATGGGAATACATTCAATTTGTGTCTTTGTGGCCTTCATATGACCCCACCCACCCATGAAGATCCTTATGACAGTGACCATGTGCTATTCTCAAATCTATTCTTCCTTCTTGTAAAGTAATAATAAAACCCATAGTTTTGAGTGGGTTTGAAGACAAAGTCTCACTCTGTCACTCAGGGCAAGGGCAGTAGTGTGATGATGGCTCACTGCAACCTCAAACACCTGGACTTAGGCAATCTTCTTGCCTCAGCCTCCCCAGTAGCTAAGACTACAGCCATGTGCCACCATGCCTGGCTAATTTTTTTTTTTTTTGAAACAGTCTTATGTTGCCCTCAGTAGAGTGCCATGGCATCACAGCTCACAACAACCTCTAACTCTTGGGCTTAAGTGATTTGCTTGCTTCAGCCTTCCCAGTAGCTGGGACTACAGATGTGCCTAGCTAATTTTTAATTTTTTTGCCCAGGCTGGTCTTGAACAGGCCTCAAATGATCCCCCTGCCTCAGCTTCCACAAGTGCTGGAATTGCAGGTATGAGCCACCATCCCTGGCCCTAGAACCCATAGTTTTTAGCAAAGCACAGAAACACTCAGAATAAGGACAATATTTCCTACCCTCTGTCATAACTAGATGTGGCAAGTGCCAATTCAGGCTCCTGAGGTTTAAGTAGAAGATGGGGTACCACTTCCTAAAAGTGTCTCTAGGAGGCAGCATGTACTACTTGCCTCCTGCTTGCTGACTGGAAGTGGAGACCTGATGTGAGGTGACCACTCAAATGGAAGTCACACAGGGCAGAATGATAAGAGGAAGAGCCTCAGCGTCCACGTAGTACCTCTCCAGCCCCACGGGACTGATCTCTGGGCTTTTACATGAAACAGGAACTTGCTGCCTTGTTTAAGTCTCTGTTACTTTAGGGTTTCTGTCCCTTGTAATCAATCCAGTTCTAACCCCACTATGTCACTACTGCAAAGCAATGTTGTACTGATTCTCTTTGGGTTAGATTTTTCTCAGAGGTTTCTCTCCAGGAGAGGAATCACTTGTCACTAGTTGAATATGCATCCACCCTGCTTCTCAAGTTAAATACTGTCAGGTTGCTAACCAGAGTCTGGACTGGTTTATAAGTCTATTACCAAGTGCAAAAATGTTCTAGTTTCCTTATACTTTCTCCAGACTTAGTAAAATATGGGGAAGACTACTTATGGTGAAAAAATTTGCATTTTTTTTTTCAGAGACAGAGTCTCATTATGTTGCCCTTGGTAGAGTGCCATGGCATCACAGCTCACAGCAACCTCCAACTCCTGGGCTCAAGCGAGTC